GTCGTAACTTTTAAAAGCCCTACATGGTTTAGGACATGGCTACCTGAGAGACTGCCTCCTGCCACTTATCTCCCAATGACCAATTAGATCACACAGGTTGGGCCTCCTCCGGGTGCCGTCGACCGGACAATGCCGGCTGGCGGCTCCCCGGGGGAGGGCCTTCTCTGTAGTTGCGCCGGCCCTGTGGAACAATCTACCCATGGAGTTCCGGACCCTTACTGCTCTCCCGGCCTTCCGTAAAGCCACCAAGACCTGGCTGTTCTGGCAGGCCTGGGGCTGTTGATCAATATCCAGCCCCATTTAGACAGAATGGACGGTGTTTAATTTAATAATTGTATCTTTTATCTTAAATTTTTAAAATGCTTTTTATCTTGCCTGTAAGCCGCCCAGAGTCCCAAGGGAGTGGGTGGCATACAAATTTTATTAAATTGAAATTGAAATTATCTTTAATACCCCTGTCTTTTCCTTTTGTTGTTGTATCACCAACAAAATCTTGGTAATACAGGATTTGTTTGCACTAGACCTGGAACCCTATAGATATAGTGGAGTTAATATGACTGGATTTCGTCTGCTCAACATTGACAATACACAAGTGGCTTCTGTTGTTGATAAATGGTCAATGGAAAGATTACAGGCACCACCCAGGCCAGAGACGGGACTCCTGGATGGCATGATGACTGTAAGTGAGAAAACACCATCTGAAATGAAATAAGTTACATTATTTTAATGACAAGCAAATTCTAAGTGAGTTGGTGACATAAAAAGCAATAGAGTTTTGCAGCTACTCTGTGTTCATATGCAAAGTTATGGTTATATTAATGAGCTGGAACATCTTTGGAACCAATCTAATTGCAATCATGTGCCTAGTTAAATCAATTGAAATCAGACTGCAAATGGATTCCTTTCCAGATGCAATTAGTCCAACACTTCTCTAGGGCAAAGTGTTTTATACAGAAACTTAGGAAATTCTAATTTAGGTAAATGAAGTTCATGCCATACTTTTATAGATAGCCACAACTGAGCTGGAAGCCGAGGTAATTTTGGAAAAAGTAGCTCTAATGCCTTTGAACAATTCTGTAAGGTGTTTTTTTTTAACAATTCTGAATTTTCAGAAATGCCTTAGAAATCGAGACAACCCAGAAACCTGCTCTTTACAGAACAAGGCAGTGTTTACCTGCAAATGCATTGAAAACAATGTTAGGCCAAGAATTTCTGTTATCATAAGAGCATGATGTTTCACTTAATGACTGTGCTTAATGATGAAGTTGTTGGTACTAATTGTGATCAGTAAGTGAGAACTACCTGCAGTTGCTATGATATTGATGGTGTTCTCATATCCAAAGGTCTCTTCTAAAGGAAAAAAGAATAGGAAACTATGTTGTTAAACAATTCAAAGCGATTCTCGATGTGTGGATTGCGGTTAAATTCTTGTGAGAAACTTGGAGCATATAGTGTGGTTATAGTATACTGGACTAATATAGAAAGCTCAAGATTCAAGCCTACCCTCAACCACGGAATGTCACTGGTTGAATTTGGGACAGTTTTCAAATTCAACCTTGTGCTTCTAAAGGAAAGGCAGCATATAAATACAACAAAATACAGCAATAATTCACATGTAATACTAATTTGTTGTATTGATTGAAAATTCAAAGAGATTCCAAAGTTTTGCTGCAATTAAAGGTAACTGATAAATTCACATCACCTATGTTTTGCAATGATCTATGTAGGTTAATGAAAGAGAGAAGTAATCTGTTAATTTCCGGAAGGATTTACAAGGCTGGCATACCCATGTAACTACAAAGTGGATTAGTTTATCTGTTACACACTACTGTCATTATCTCATCAGGATAATCATGCAGCTTTCTTGCTTCATTGATTAAATTTTGTATGCCAGGAAAATGACACTACTTTGTACTTGTAACCTACCACATTTTTCCCCTTTAGGAAAATATTATTTAAGAATTGAAAAAAATCATCATAGCACAACAGTACATATTAGCTGGTTGTTATATAACAATTTGCCTCAAAAAAACCAGTCAAAGCCATTTTTCTTCTTCAGGTTGAACAATTAACTTTTGAATTAACTGTGAAGCTTAATAATAAATAATGCTACATTTCACTACAGGTTTTAGTCTTTTAACCAAATCACAAGGTTAAACTAATTAAACAATATAAGGCTCTCATCTCAACAATTTAATTTAGCAAATTTTAATTAGTGACCTGATTCAGGGATTTGTCCAGAAAACAAATGTCTAAACTTAGGCCTACTGCTGTTTTATCATGGATAATTATCCATGATACAAATATATTTGTAAAGCCATAACTGTATTGCATAAAGAAAGCATATGTCTACACAGACATTCAGGAACCATATGAAGAAAATCCTGCAGTGAATGATTGGGTAAGAATAAATTGAAAGAGAAACACAAGTGATAACTTCATGGAAGTTATCTGCCAGGACAGCAGAAGATTGGTATCTTTCAAAAAAGTGTGTGATAGCAGGAAATTTCAGCTTAGTTTACATCTGCTGAAAGTCTAGCTCTGCTAAAAAAAAAAAAAATTGAGTTTGGAACTACAGTCTGCCTCACCTTGTCATGATAGTACGTGGCTTAGAAAATATAACACTAACAACAAAAGATTAAAAACAAAGAAATCACATGGAAAAAAAGGCTGGAAAAAAGCCACCAACCATTCAAAAGATTAAAAAAAATATACAAGGGATAGAATGCCCACACTTGGGAAGAGCCAGGATTTCATGGCTTACTTAAATAAAATTGGGGGACGACGATTGCATGAATCTTGGGGAGAATTGTTGAAAAAGGCCATTTCTTGAGACTCACGGAGTGACATTGTTTAATCAATGGCAACTGTTTCAGAAAGTATGGGGTGGGCAGACAATACTGTTTGAATCCACAAATAACCAATTATTATGGCATGAACTGCTTTATAACTAGCATCTTAAATTAACTCAGAAGCTTGCTGCTGCTAACACAGCTCACAAAACAGAGGTGTCCTTTTACTTTCCAGAAAATAGGGAGGGTTCCTTTTGAAATGTTTTCCACACACATCCCTTTCTGTGAACTAAGATGTCCTTTACATCAGGGTGTCAACTCGATTTCATTGAGGGCCACATCAGCATTGTGTTTCACCTTGGGAGGCAGGGTGGGGTGGCCAGTTATAGTCTGGTGTCAGGGGTGCATGTGGTGGCCCGGGAGCTCTGCCAGCGAAAATGAGCTGTTTCCAGGGTCAGATCTAAGCACCCCATGGGCTGGATCTACCCCCAGGCCTTGAGTTTGACATCCCTGCTTTACATGTTGGTAATCCAGCCCATGGCTCTTCCTCCTGTCTTGTAATGTCATTCCTACACACTGTTACAAGGATTCTGATGACTTCCTTAGAAGTCAAGCTCAGACTCTTCCCAGATAATCTGATAAGATCACATCAGTGATGGGTTTCAAAAATTGTTCGAACCTACTCTGCGGGTGTGGCCTCCTTTGTGGGAGTGGCTTG